CAGAAGTGGCTGGTCCTTCCTTACCCACTCGTGACAGCACCCAGCTCAGTGTCACTGGAGGGAAGGAAGAAGGGCTGGGAAGGATTCCCTGGTTTTGGACTCGACCCCTCTGGTGATGCCTGCCACTCAGCATTCTCCCTTTTTGGAAATGTAGGGTGGGCTGGGTGGTGTTCTCTGGTCCGGGATGTGCATTCTCACTAACATCAACCGCCTCTCCCCTGAGACGACTTAATTAAGCACCTCATCCAGGGCTTCTCAGTCCTGGCTGCACATTAGAATCACCTGGGGAGCTGTAAAAACGACCCAGGCTGGGCCCACCCCCTAGAGGTCCTGATTTAATTTGTCTGGGGAAGAGCCTGGGCACTGGAGCATTTTACAAAGTTCCTTGAGGGATTCTAATGTGCAACCAGGTTGTGGAATCATATGACCAGCTCATTAAAGGCCTGAGAATTCTTCTTTTTCCTCTAGGAGTTCACTATCTAACCAGGGACTCACATGTTATCTCTGATGTCTGAATAAAGACCCTGGTGTCAGTGAGCTCCTTGACCATCGGTGGCCGGGACTGTAAGATACTCCAAAGTCGAGTACGGAACTAGCAGGCTCTCCCCTCCTCAGCCCTCCCTTGGTTGGGATGTGTGTGTGTGTGTGTGTGTGTGTGTGTGTGTGTGTGTGTATTATCCATTGAGGTGTATTATACGAACAATCCAGAGAAGCAAACTCAGAAACCTTGACATAGACCAGGGGATTAAGGCCCATGTGGGAGGCTGTCAGGGAGAGGTCGGGATGTCGAGCTGTGAGAGGGTTGGACATAGGGGTGGACCACAGAACAAAGGGCTCTTCTCCAGGGGCTACTCAGCTTTGGCTAACCTCACCATTAAGGAATTTGGGCCTTACCAAATCTACCAAATTAGGGTTTACCACATATCTCTATTTTTCAAGAGAAGTTTGAAATCTGGACTTTTCTGTTAAACTACTTAACTTTTCTGGGGCACACACACACACACACACAAACGTGCATGCACAGAGTAGGACAACAAAACACATCTGCAGCCTGGAATGGGGCCCAGGCCCCCAGGACTAGAGGAAACAGCGGGCCAACTTCTTGTGTTTTGGACTAAAACTGGGGATTTCCACTCTTTGTCAGAGACCTGAAGAGTGAAGCCACGTGGTCCTGTTTGCTGAGCATGCGTACATAAGCCTCTGCTCAGAGGCTTTGGCTGGGGTGAGCCCCGGGGAGCGTGGACAGCTGCCCTGGCACAAATCAGCCACCACAGAACTAGGTTACTTGCCACCCGTTGCCACTCTTGCTGTAATGTCGTGAGATGATGAGACCTTTGTTTCCTAGTGAAAGGTGGCCCACAAAGGAGCCAGCTGTTGGTGCAGATGATGGAGGAGAAAAGCAAGAGAAAGACGGATGGCTTTTATCCAGAAAGTGGCAGCATTAGGTGGGTAAAGAGTGAGCCAGGGTGATCAGTGGGCATCAGGTCTGCAGGGGACCATGCCCACTACATGCCATATTCACAGACAATTAAAAAGCCATCAGCCTGACTTTTTCAGCAGGTGCCCCCACAAGAAATGGGTCATGGAGAGAAAAGCCAAACCTCAGAGAATATGCCAAGGGTGAGAGAGGCTGGGTGCTGGGTTCTGATGAGGGGCACTGGCACCGGCGCGGGAGAGAGGGGTAACAAGGCTCCCAAGACGTCTGCCAGGAAGGACTCTCATTTGTGTGTGTGTGTGTGTGTGTGTGTGTGTGCAGGGAGCACTGACACACATGGAACCCTAGAGGTATGTGTGCCTCACTACACAGGCACCCTGAGCTGGCATGTGGGCCCCAGTGGCAGCAGGTGGCTCCCTAACCTCAGCTCGGCTCACTGGAGCTCAGGAGTTCCCTCCTGGAGAAGGCTGGGAGAGCCAGAATTCCCCAACCTGGAGATCCCCCCATCCATCCCCTTTCACGTGTTTGGCTCCCTCTGTTTTTTTGGGACTCAGCCTCTCCTCATAGGCCCTCCCTGAACACTCTCAGGGGTGGGCTCAATCTGCCCCTTGGCTCTCTAGCCCACCTCCAGCTCGCCCCTCCCTCTGGCATCATCTTGTGTCTTTGCTTGTGTGCTGATTGTCTCCCCCTTAGAATGTGAGGGCCAATGTGAGATCTGACAGGGCAGGGCCAGATCCCCTTCTCCATGTTCCCAGAACAGTGCTGAGTACATGCAAATGGCTAATACGTACCTGAGAAATGGCTGAGGGACTAAAAGGGCAGGAGACCCAGGAGGCCTCACGGCCAGGTTCTGGCTCTGGGAGCGCATCCTCCCCTCCCCGCTTAGGACTTTCCTTGCACTTTCCCATGGGCATCCCAGCTACAGCAGGCACTTCCACCTACAATCCACCTTTGCTTAACCCCGTGTGTCTGGTCCAGGGCTGTGTGCAAAGGGGCAGGTACAGGACCTGCCCTCTTGAGGTGCACTGCCCGCTGGCAGATGAGGTCACAGGGCGAAGAGGCGCCCAGTCCAAGGGCTGGGGGGAGGGTCCTGGTGCCAGGAGAAGCCTCCTCAGGCTGGGAGGTGAGGAGCTGACTCAGAGCCAGCAGGGGTTGGTGGGGTGGTTAAGGAGGGCTTCCCAGAGGAAGGCCAGTCTAAGCCAGATCCTGGAGAGGGTGAGATGAGGATGGGGAGGATGTTGCTGGGGTGAAGGAAACCCAGAAGCGGGGCTTGGAAGCTGAGACAAGACCGATGCATCCAGGCTGCAGAGCTGGTGCTGAGACTGGGACCTTGTGAGTTGGGTGAAGAGGAATCCTCAGTCACTGGCTACCTGGTCTAGCCCCAATGATGTGCAGAGTGGGGGGAAGTGACTTACCCAAGGTCACAGCATAGAAGGGAGGAAGATGGGACTCAAACCCAGGCCTCCTGACCCCCAAGCCTGAGGCCGTTCCTCTGCAGGAAACTGCCTCCTGCAACCAAAATAACTGAAAGCTGCCTGAGGCTGAGCCTGGCCCTGAGGTCAGAGTGGGGAAGAACACTGCCCCTGGCGCAGGTGGCACAAGTCTTGTTCTTTTGGTCCCTCCTCGTGAAGGTTGTCTTCCCTTAAAATAGCAGGTCCGGAGAGTGCCTCTTTTTTCCAGGAAGCCTTCCCTACCCCACTTCCTGAGCTCATTCTCACTTTATTACGCTGCACTAGAAACGTCTCCACTGGGGATGGGACACACCCGAGTACTGGGTCCCCGGAGGTTGGCACACTGTGTGTTGGTGGCCAGCACTACTGAGTGGGTGCCAGGCCAGTTCCAGCCCCGCCTCAGGCCCCAGCCTGGCTCTGACTCCTGACCCACTTCTAGCCTGGATCCTGCCCTGCCATACACACCCTCCAGCAATTTGCACTGTTCCATGGTGACCACATACACTTGCCACAGCCACATCCAGCCTACCTCCAGGTCTGCTTGGAAACCCGTAGGGTTTGCCCTGCCTGATCCTGAACCCCCTTGCAGAGCTACCCCTTGGGCATCATGGCCAGGGCATCAGGAGGTTGACCTGTTTTCCACCATCAAGGCCAGCTCTGCATGGACCCAGGACCCAGGCACATTCTCTCTTCCAGGGCAGGCCTTTGCTATATAGCTGGAGTTTGGGATCAAGTAGGGACAAGACCGAAGAGACGAGAAGTGCCTGGAGAGGGATTCACATGCCTGGCTTCTGTGGGTTTGAGGATAGACCAGCTAGGTTGATGGAAAAGCTCTCCCAGTGCCTCCCCAAAGAGCATTTAATAAACAGCTGGAGGACTGAATGACAAACTTTATTAGAAATGCTCTTCATTCATCGGTCAAATTCACATTAAAGTGGGGAGGGGGGAGGCGGTGCCGTCTGGGGCTCTGGTATCCCCAGGCTGTGATGATTTCCAGTTAACAATGAGTCTGGGCAGAGAGCATCCAAAACACACAAGAGGTGACAAATGGTGGTGGCGGTGGCAGCAGCAGCAGCATCGTCCGTGAGAGGACAAGGCTGGGAGTGGGTGGAGAACATGCCTCCCACATCCACCCTTCCAGTTACAAGGCCGCCTCCACAGACCCCAGGCTGATAAATAAACAGCACACCACACACACATTTGAAACAGGAAACAAACTCACAAAAGTCTCCTAAAGTGGAAAAATAATTAGCTCGAATAAAGCTTTGTGGCAGCCAGACTGCACCCTGAATGGACAGTTGCCCAGAGACCCTTGACACTCCAGGAAGGCTCCCCAGCCCAAGGACGTCATCAGACCTGGGTGTCACAATGCTCCAGATCCCCCCATGAGCACCTTAGGACTAAGTACTGTCCTCACCACACTCCTCTTTTAAAACACAAACTCTACTTAAAAGCATAATAGTCAAGGACACACTCTGTCCCTAGGGGAATCAGTCAGACTCATCTTCCCTGAATAGAGGTGCTGGGGTGTCCAGAGAACTGTGTGTCAGTGGCCGGGAGGAGGGCACATGGAGGGGTAAGTAAACAACATTCCGAGAGGTAAGCCCAAGGCGTCTGGATATTGCTTGGTCCACTTGTCAGCTCTGCAATTAGGCACCCCTGGGGAATAATCTCTCAAAGTGGCACAGACTCTCAAAATGTCACGACAATCCTGCTGCCCTGGCAAGGGGTGGGGGCTGGGAGGGGTATGGGGATCAAGCTGCGTTCATCATTCATTATTCAGAGGCAATTTTCTCCCTGCACTCGCCAATTTTCCCCTGGCCCTGTCTGCAACGGGGCACACAATAGAGATTCTTCTGCCCAAATGTTTTATTCATTCTCTTGAATAAGGAAACAGCCTCTCCAATCAATACGTGGCTGCTGTGTATCGGTGGGCAGGATTTCTGCCAGGTACAGGCTCCAGGCTCTTCGTGGCTTCCAGGAGGTTTCTGACTTGGGAGGGCTGCTTCAAGGGCAGTAAATACGTTGGCAACAGACATTTCGTGTCCAAAGTTGGTAACATGTCCTGGCCTTTCAGAGAACTGAATGCCCTGGGGAACCAGGGTGAGGGGGAGACCTCTTCCTGAATGTATTGCGTGACCCAGACTGTGAATGACAGGCAGGCCCAGGCCTGGTCTCTCTGTCAGTGCCTGGCTCACTGGTACTGCAGATAGTTCTTGAGAGACTGAGGCAGGGGCAGGGAGCTGATGTCCTGCAGGCGCTGGCGGCCCAGGGCCAAGCGGATGGATCTCCGGCACAGGTCCATCAGTGGCAGGGGCTCAGCTGCAACGACAGGGAAGCGGTTAGAGTCTCCCCCACACCTCCCTGGCACCACCTCACCTCCCAGCCCCCACTGCACACCACCTGCCTGCCTGCGCCTCTGAGCTGACATTCAGGGCCCAGGGCTTCTCTCTGAGGAGCATTCCCTGGCTGCCTTAGCTGAAGGCCCAGAGCAGTGTTTATTAAACTGTGGAATGCAATCAACTGGCTAGACTAGAGAGCGGTGAAATCAATTCAATGGATGGTGACCAGCAATATTTTTACAAAAAGAAAAAAGAGAAAATGGGGAGCAATGGCCATAGCATGGATAAATATATTGTCCCCGGAAAGCTTTGTCTCTGATGTAGGTGTTTAGAGTGTCTCGATGTGAAAAGTACCTCCCACTGCAGGTCATATTCAAAACTGTTTGAAAGCCACTGGGCTGGGGGTGGGGGGTGTGTGCGTCTGCAGTGGGGCTTCCTCTTAGAAAGAGGTTAGATTCTGAGAAACTTGTTTGAAATGACTTTGAACCCTCAAACTTCCCCCACAGCTTCCTTTGATGCTCAGCAGAGGGATGCATTTTCTTCCAACACCCAGTTCTGGAAAAATTCATAAATTAAAATGCATAAGCAATGGAACCTCTGGATATAGGACCAGTTAAACCATGTGTAACTAGGTTTATTGCAGACACTCTTATTAAGCTGATTCTATTCCAGACTCTCTGATTGACTCTGGGAATACAAAGATAATTAAGCCAGGGCCAGAAGTAGCCCTAGAAGTGGGGGAGGGCTCACTGTCTGGGATTGTAAATAGGTAATTTTAATAGAGTGCAATATATGCAATAACTACTAAATGCACAGGGACATACACTGGGCAGTTTCTGTTTGGAGGTGTTGTCTGAAAGCTTCAAAGAGACGACACCCAAGTGGGGTTTTGAAGGGTGAATAGGAGTGTTATAGGCACATGAGGGTGGGGAGGGTGTTCTAGGTGTGTTTTATGCCTACACTCTTGACCACACTCCCATCCTGTGTGATATTATTCCTAGCACAACTCTTGTGCTAGGATTTACCACTTATGGTTTCTTATATCTTAATACATTATAGAATGCTTTTAAAATATCACTTATTCTGTTGCCAAAAAAGCATTAAGATGCAGGTTCAGGCCTCCAGCATGTTCCTGTAGGCCTAGGGAAGTGAGGCCTGAGCAAGCCATGGGAGACAACACGTCACCACCATCATCTTCCCTCCCGATGCAGCTGATGCCAGCTGACCAGCACCAGTCTTCTCTCCCCCATCTCGCCAGCCCGTCCCGTTGCATGCCTCAGTGCTTTGTCAGTTTTCTCTGCCTAGAACTCTGTAAAATGGGGTCAGCAACACTTCCGTCTGTGTGCTGCTGTGATGACAGCATGATACCACATGCCCACTGCCTTAGAGGTACTCTCGAAAGTACATCTTGTTTCAGGCCAACAGCCCAAGAGATACCTTTAAAAAGTCACAACTTACTTATTGTGTCTAACAATGCCTCAGTACATCATCCTAATTGACAACAATGTTCTGCTCTGGATGAAGACTTATTGGAGCCAGGCCTGGATGTCTGGTTCTGTGCTAAAAATATCACAAGGCAATCATTTCAAAGTTCTCCAGTGACCTGAGTTTTCCTAAATTCTCCATCACGAACTCCCTACATGACCCTGGGTGAGCCACAGGACTGTCCAGGGACTCTGTTTTGCTATCAGTACAACAGGGAAGTTAGCTCAACTGGTTATGATGGTCTATGTCAGTGATGGAAACGAGTGGAGACCTTGGCACAGAGATGGGTGACTTCAGCCGCTTCCCTAGGCTCCCTGAGGTCTTCCCTGCCTGAAGTGGAGAAACATCATGACACGAGTCACCACCCTACCCCCATCCCTGCATTTAAATTTTGAAAGAAGATCAACACTTCAAGATCAAGATCAAATCTAAGGTCAAGAGGTGAGATTCTTTTGCGGTAATTTTAGACAATGGTCAGCCTATGGGGGAGAGTTTGAGTGACAGCCCTGAAATCTGAACTTAAGTATACCTGGGCACTGTTTGTTTTCAGGAAAAGAAATGAGAAGACACACACATGCAAGTACACACACACTGTATGTGTCAGACACTGCTAATCGCTTACCCACAGCCTATGGTTTTGGTGTTCAAAGACTCACAGAATTGCTTCCATGCCTCAGGGCCTCCCCTCATGCTGCTCCTTTTGCCTAGAACACCCTTCCCTACACTTCCTGCCAGGAGCATGCCTCTTCTTCCAGGACTCAAATCAAGTGTCACCTCCTCCCCAATGACTTGGCTCCTCTGCCCCTGGGTCTGCACCTGTCAGGTGTCAATCCACTTAATATACTATGCAAATGGACAAGTGTATCATTACCTGTAGAAATGCTACATCTAAAATATGGCATCCCTTAGGGCCGAGCCCGTGGCGCACTCGGGAGTGTGCGGCGCTGGGGCGCAGCAGCGCTCCCGCCGCGGGTTCGGATCCTATATAGGGATGACCGCTGCGCTCACTGGCTGAGCGCGGTGCAGCTGGTCTCAAAAAAAAAAAAATATATATATATATGGCATCCCTGTACCAACTGGCCCTGTCATGGCCAACAAAGACCCTATCTAGAATGCATTTGAAATTCGGAGAGTTTTCTCCTGACAAACTTCACTGTTTCCCCAGCAAAAAGGGTTGTGACTGTAGCCAGGACATGAGGAGCATCTTCAGACGAACTCTGTGCCAAGAAGCGTCATTGGCACAGATGGTTCCCACAGCCCAGGTGGGGCCCTTTTTCTTTCCTGGGACAGAGAACTGTCGAGTTGCTTCATGTGCACAGGAACGTAGTCCTAAATAACGGGCAGCCTTCCCTAGCAACCCCGCAGAGTGAGGACGTGAGAAACCTCCAAAGGGGAGAATCCGGGACAGGGAGTGCTTGAAAAATTCCATCCGAATTTTTCAGCTGGACAGTGTGGGGCTGTTCAAAAGACGAAGGCAGTGTGCTCAAGGGGCAGCCCGGGCTCAAACGCTTGTACCCCTCCCACCCAGTTTCTCTCTGAAATGACAGAAAAGATGTGCACATGTGTGGGTGCGTGTGCATGAAGGACATGATAACAGTGCTGGAAAGCAAGAAAGGCAGTCAGCAGGCTAGACATGTGGGTAAATTCCAGGGAGACAGAAAGCAGGTGGGATATGCTGGTGGAGAAACCAAGCAGAGAAGCCAGTAGCCCTGTCCACCAGGGATGAGCGTGACTTTTACCAAAGGAGCCCTACCCAGAGAAGCCCCAACCTCTGTGGAGCAAACATCAGGGTAATCCCAACACCTGGGCAGTTGTGTTCCCGTCTCTACCCTGGCTGAAACCTAAGCTTGCTCTCTGCATGAGGCGGGCAGCCTTTGGGAGAGGCTCCTGGCTGGCTGTGAGGTCCAGCCGAGAAGCTGATGGAGCATGAGTGAGCCCTTCTCTAACGCAGAGGTGGGAGCGACTGCTGGGAAAGAAAGACATTTCCACTTAGATGAAGGACTCAAGGGCCTGGCCTGCCCGCCAGCCCCCTGAGTACGCAGTCGCCCATGGGAAAGTGTGTCCAGAACAGATTCTCACCCAGACCCCCAGCACTCCCAGGGGAAGGGGAGCCGCACTGCTGCAGAGCACACAGCCGCCGCCTTCTCAGAGGCTCTGAAAGAACAGCCTCTCCATCCACCTAGTCTGAGAGTTGCTCCGGGAGGTACTCCAACGAAGTGAGAGAGGGGCCCCGCGAATGGATGGCAGGCGCTTCTAGCAAGAGAGGAGAGTGACAGACACTGACGGGAAGGAAGATAGTGGAACGCTGTGAAGGTCCGTTCCATCTCGGAGCCTGGAAGAACCCCCTTCCAGTGGCCACTGTTTCTCTGAAGGGCCACCCCACCATGTGCTGTGCCTCCTACCTCTGACCCTCAGCTTCTCCAGATCTTCCACTGTGCCCTCCAGAACTGCCACCCACACAGAAGAGCACACCCTCAGCTCCTCTGAGGCTCCCTCCACCTCCCACCTTAACCAAGCCGAGCCTTCTCTCTGAGGACCCCACCACTCAGGGCCGGGACATTCGGAGCTGTGCACTCACCATCTGCCTGGGAGAAATCCCACTTCCTCTGCGGCTCACACCACTTGGTTCAGCCCCCTCTCCACCCACACCTGACAGCCCCCTCATGACAAACCCTCCACAGGGACAACTCTCCCATCACTTGGTCCTCATCCTCAGGGACCCTCTCCTCCATCCAACCACCCACTCCCCGGGCCATACTATCACCCCTAAATGCCCATTCCTGCACCACAGTCTCTAACCACTGCATCGGCCACCCCCGCTGTGACCATTATTTCCCCTCAGGGAGACTTTGGGGCCACCGAGCCCTCTATTTCTGCTCAGCCCACACCACTCCTTTTCCTCGCCTCCCTCCCCACCACTGGAACAACCTGCTCTTCCCGGGGCCACAGGGTGTGGGGCAGTGAGAGGCTGGGGGAGGTGCAGACTTGGACGCTGAGAAATGAATCAGGAACAAAGAGCATCTCAAATTCAGTTCATCCCTGTTCAGTTTCATTCCAGGGCCTATGTGGACTCGGCTTCTTTCTCCTGACCCTGCCACGCAGCTGAGCAGAAAGTGGCTGAGCAGCCAGGAGCCCCG